GAGGGGGAAACAAAACGCTTGGACACTGCTAGCGCCCACAGAAACGCAAAGCAGGAGATGAAGCATCGCTGAATATGTTTCCAAACCAACTTCATTCTAAGCCAAAGACTAGAAAATATGGTGAAGCATATCTTCCCTTTGGCTTCACCTGCACAAGTGCCGAGGTAGGTCTCCCCTGCAGAATTGGTTTTCCCTTCGTAGGGAGCAGCGCTGGGCTCTTCAAATCACGGACAAACAGTATCCCACATTCTTGATTTTTAGTTCACAAACACTTGTTGTAATGACTAACTACTCCCGACATTTTGGAGATGTTAGCTCTTTATACAGTAAAGTTACAGCGGAATACAAATAATATCAGGCTGATCCTGCCACGATTTGTCCCCGATTCAAATCACGGACAACCAGTATCCCACAGTTGTTTATGTTTTTAAACCCATTTTGCACAGAGAGGCATTTTTTGATATTATAGCAATGTTGAATATTATTACACAGGAAAAAACAACTACATGGAGGGACAGTAACTGCGTGTATATATGTAAGCTGTAAAACCTGAAGATAGTCAGATTAACAGTATTTTGTCTCTATCTTCCATTCTGCAATTCATCTCATGCAAACAATAACGTGGCGCACAGCGTGACGTGAAAAAGGCACATACCTTTGACATTGCATGACTAACTCTGTATTCCTCGTCCACACTTAAATGCAAAAAAGGAGTTTTAAAAAAATCTCCGTTTTCGGTGATTCGTAACGACATTTACGTGTGGACGAAACAGCTGCGTTTTCAAAAATACCCGTGTAGTTGCGGAGTTAGTAGTTTAGTTAGTAGAGTTAGTAGTTTATTTTCTTACTACCTGTAATTTATTGCAGATTACTTGTATTTACTTAATTGTTTAATAAATGTTTGAGGTGTGAAATAAACCGTAATGGAGCAAAATATGTGTGTGTGTGGTTGGAGGATGTGTGCGTGCATGTGCGTGCGCGCGTGCACACGGGGGCGTGAACATTTTTCTTGCAAAACAAAGGGGGGCCTAGCAAAAAAAGTTTGGGAACCACTGTTTTATACTATCATTGGACTCCTTTTACATGCAAAAATCCTCAAAGTGTCAAGAATTGCAAATTGTGGACCTAAGTAGAGATTGACAGGCAGACAAACAACAAAACAAAAGAAATGCTGGTCAGTGCTGTCCTCAGCTTCCAGAAGACACACCTGTGTCATCAGTTTCAAAATCTTATGTCACATTGTTCTCAAGTTATTGATTTCTCAAAATTTTCAGAAAGCTTACTCTGACTATGAGCTTAAGATTGCTGAGATTGAAAGTCATTCAAGATTTTTAGTAGATACATCCATGGTATGAATTTGAGAGTTATCGCATTCACAAGATTTTTATAAGACTTGACCTTAGACCTTGAGGTCAAACTCACTGAGATTTGAACTCATCCAAGATTTTTAGTAGCTGTATTGATAGTATTAATTTAAAGCTCCCATGTCAGCTCATTCTTGAGATATCACATTCACAAATCTCGGTGTCCACACACCAAAGAAGAGCTTTATCTTTATTGGCATCATATAAAGAAATGCATATTAATTGGATCGAGATCAATGGTTATATTGTTGTCATGTGCTTTTATGTCTGTGTGCATAAAACTGAGGGCAGGTGTGGCTTTTTTGAAGAACAAAACAAAAAATATAGTTACTAAAATAATTATAAGCTGATTTTTTTTATTGATAGTCTTTTATCATCATAGGCTATTGGTGATTTATAACATTTATCCATCATAAGACATGTCTACATACTAGTCAAAGTACAGTATACAGGGAGTGCAGAATTATTAGGCAAGTTGTATTTTTGAGGAATAATTTTATTATTGAACAACAACCATGTTCTCAATGAACCCAAAAAACTCATTAATATCAAAGCTGAATGTTTTTGGAAGTAGTTTTTAGTTTGTTTTTAGTTTTAGCTATTTTAGGGGGATATCTGTGTGTGCAGGTGACTATTACTGTGCATAATTATTAGGCAACTTAACAAAAAACAAATATATACCCATTTCAATTATTTATTTTTACCAGTGAAACCAATATAACATCTCCACATTCACAAATATACATTTCTGACATTCAAAAACAAAACAAAAACAAATCAGCGACCAATATAGCCACCTTTCTTTGCAAGGACACTCAAAAGCCTGCCATCCATGGATTCTGTCAGTGTTTTGATCTGTTCACCATCAACATTGCGTGCAGCAGCAACCACAGCCTCCCAGACACTGTTCAGAGAGGTGTACTGTTTTCCCTCCTTGTAAATCTCACATTTGATGATGGACCACAGGTTCTCAATGGGGTTCAGATCAGGTGAACAAGGTGGCCATGTCATTAGTTTTTCTTCTTTTATACCCTTTCTTGCCAGCCACGCTGTGGAGTACTTGGACGCGTGTGATGGAGCATTGTCCTGCATGAAAATCATGTTTTTCTTGAAGGATGCAGACTTCTTCCTGTACCACTGCTTGAAGAAGGTGTCTTCCAGAAACTGGCAGTAGGACTGGGAGTTGAGCTTGACTCCATCCTCAACCCGAAAAGGCCCCACAAGCTCATCTTTGATGATACCAGCCCAAACCAGTACTCCACCTCCACCTTGCTGGCGTCTGAGTCGGACTGGAGCTCTCTGCCCTTTACCAATCCAGCCACGGGCCCATCCATCTGGCCCATCAAGACTCACTCTCATTTCATCAGTCCATAAAACCTTAGAAAAACCAGTCTTGAGATATTTCTTGGCCCAGTCTTGACGTTTCAGCTTGTGTGTCTTGTTCAGTGGTGGTCGTCTTTCAGCCTTTCTTACCTTGGCCATGTCTCTGAGTATTGCACACCTTGTGCTTTTGGGCACTCCAGTGATGTTGCAGCTCTGAAATATGGCCAAACTGGTGGCAAGTGGCATCTTGGCAGCTGCACGCTTGACTTTTCTCAGTTCATGGGCAGTTATTTTGCGCCTTGGTTTTTCCACACGCTTCTTGCGACCCTGTTGACTATTTTGAATGAAACGCTTGATTGTTCGATGATCACGCTTCAGAAGCTTTGCAATTTTGAGACTGCTGCATCCCTCTGCAAGATATCTCACTATTTTTGACTTTTCTGAGCCTGTCAAGTCCTTCTTTTGACCCATTTTGCCAAAGGAAAGGACGTTGCCTAATAATTATGCACACCTGATATAGGGTGTTGATGTCATTAGACCACACCCCTTCTCATTACAGAGATGCACATCACCTAATATGCTTAATTGGTAGTAGGCTTTCGGGCCTATACAGCTTGGAGTAAGACAACATGCATGAAGAGGATGATGTGGACAAAATACTCATTTGCCTAATAATTCTGCACTCCCTGTAGGCTGAATTGGTTACATAATGCTAAATGACATCAGTTATACTGCCGTGGTCCTTCCTTGCTTGGCTAACCTGTCATTTCTTCTTTTGTTTTTTCTTCCACCTCTAGCTCTTTCTTTGCTTCCTGTATGTGTGTATATGTTTGTATGCATGTGTTCTTGTCTTTGTGCAGCATAGGGACCTTGAAGAAGTTCCTGCTCTTGAGCCACACATCTGCTGATAATCCACACTTGCTTTGATCTTGACGCCATCAAGGGTCACTTTAGTAGAGTGGCTGAGCTTCAGTCAACGCTGGATCGTTGATTAACAATAGCCATTGGAACCCTGCCTCATGCAAAGAATTGAATTTGTTCAAAGTTCAAAGAATTTAACTTGTCATGTTTTTCTGAGTGAAGGAAATTAACCCTCTGTCCTCTCTGTGTCCATCAAATCTGTGGAGAGTTTTAGAGAGAGCACTAAGGCTTTTGTAAATATTTTGTAAGGAACTATGGAGTTTTTTGGGGTTTTTTCCTAGGAATCGCCGCACCCACCGGGAGCTGGGACTATCACCACTGAGGAAATCACATCTTGTTGGAACTGTTGTGCACTTAGTTTTTTCACTGTAAATAAACTCACTGTAACTGTCCATAAAGTCGTGCGACTGGGTCCTGTTCCTCTGCCATTCAACAAACCTGATCTATACATTCTTGTGCAAATCATAATGACACACTTTGACATCAAAAGCTTTTGATTGGGGTTTTCAGATTTGAGGATTGGGCCCAGCATATGAGCGACTTGTGTAAAACAGTGTGTTTTGTAACAGAATTTCTTCATCATATGATATGTAATGGGGGGGGGGCGGAGAGGGGATTGTGATTTATCTTTTGCTGTTGTTTACGCAACCAAATATTTCTTGGCCCACAACAGTAATGTGACAGTGTGTCAATGTAATAGCAGAGTTCAATGCAAATTCCTGCTGAATTTATATTTAAACATGTCAAGACTTACTACTTCTTGTGGTTTCATTCAGACTGACTGTAGTCGGTAGCTTGTTGCTACCTCTGTCTTTCTCTGTCCTCTCTGTTTCTGTGTTCTGCTTGTGGATGATGAAACAAAGGATTTTCCTTTTACCCTTTTGACTGCACAACTGTCTGGACAGAACTGAGTCCATCAGCCACTCAGAGTGTAATCATGGTCACAATGTCTACACATGACCTGTTTTACCTCATAACTTTTCCTTACAGTATTTCTCAACTCATACTAGATATCGGGTCCTTCTGTGTTGATAGTTAATAAATTCTGTCTTGGCAAAATGTTCTGTCAGGATGCCTCGACTGTGTAAATATTTTGCTCAGCTTCATCTCTCTGATTTTAAGCTCAGTTGCCTTCTGGAGTAGCCAAAGTATCTAACCCTAACCCTCAAAGTCAAAGTGCCCTTAAAGTACCTTAAAGTTACCCGCTAAGGTCAGTGTAAAGTGGTTCCTGCTTCATGACGAGTGATGAGGGCCATTTTTCTTTTTCATACAAGGACACACACACACACACACACACACACACACACACACACACACACAGACACACACACACACACACACACACACACACACACACACACAAATATGAAAGCAAGCCCAGCTACTCTACACTATGTGGTAGTAAAACGTTTACTCAGTACTACTACTAATAAAGAGGTGGATCCTGCCCTCTAGTGGTGGAAGGAGTGACACACATGTTGTCTGGACTATGACGTATCACTCTGCAGACTTGATGAAATGCCTTTGTTGCTTCACATACATCTTCCAAACACTCTAGAATAAACCTAAATCTTCAGCCTGATGTGTTTCTTCAGCATGACTTTGCTCTTGTATGGATAACCAATGCAGAACCCTGAAACAACCAAAGAAAAAGAAAATAAAAACATGAATACCACCTCATTTGTGCGCCCTGGAGCATCATGTATTCATATGACAGGTGTGAATGTCTAAATGACTTTGCGGTTAAAATCTGTTAAAGCTGATACTGTGCAAATAATAGTTCTGTTTTACCCCAGGGAGAGACACAGCAGCAGGAGTAAAGCGGTTAAACAGGCGGCGAGAAGCGGTAACAATGAGGCGAGGAAGGAGCGGGGAGAGTCACCAGACGCGGGGAAAAACTGCCCTCCTGGGAGCAGAGACAGGTCAAATGTCTCCTGCAGCTCTGTGTGGCCTGCCACAATCTGGGGGGTCACTAAGACAGACACGAAGGGATGAAGACAGGGAATATAGAGGAGAACCGACGATGAATGAAGTGAAAGAGGTTGGTTGAGGAAGTCTGCAGTTTTAATTGTATTTGCTTAGTACGAGTTTCCTCATTTATTAAGCACAAATACAGAGTGAGTTAGTCTTCTGTACACAGTAGTTGACATGTATCATTAGTGGGTTATAACCCACCAATTCAACAGTTGTATAATTTAAGAAAAAATGTGCTAACCCAGAAAACTAAAATAATTATTCAACTAATCATATAATGTTCAGGAGGTGAGATGCACATAATATTATACCCATATACATAATTACACATGCTAAGCTGTGTAAAAATGCATAATCATGAATGCTAATAGATGCATTCATATAGTCAAACAGTTATTTTTGTTCTTTCCTCCTTTCTAAAATCCCCTTTAACTCCACTTTTCAGTAAAACACAATCTGTACACAGGGAATTGTCTGCACAGGGCTCATTTACATTCTGATATATTCTTCCACATTTCTTTAAATGTGTTAACAACTTTGCTACCAAAGGCATACATCCAGCAGGCCTGATTTATTTCCCTGTAAGAAGAATTTGGCTATAAAAAGCAAGGGTATAGTCAAACTGGATGTGCTTTAGGTTAGTTAGTATTCAGTGTTAGTTATTAGTGCCCTAGATGGGTTAGCCTTTAGTTTAGTTAATATGTTCCTCTTTTGTTTTCATGCATATCACTCCCTCTTGACTCCAAACAGCCAGTGCTTGCTTTGCCAGCCAACAGCTGTATTAAAATACCTGCGGCAGCACGTCCTCGCAGCAACACACTTTCCAAATATATTTTATTTGCAAGGTCACTCAGTAGTAGTGGAATAGTGTTTAGAAACCTTGGGTTCATCATAATTATAATTTTATTTTACTGGATGTGAACATGTTTGGAAGCGCACCTGAGCAGTAGACTCAGAAATAACAAGCTTCTCAGCAGCTCAACAGTCCAGTCTCTTTTTATTCCCTTTTTCTTCAGTGGATTAGTGTGCTGGATCTACATTGCAGACTGGTTAGACAAACTGAAGAAAAATCAAACTAAGAAAAAATATTTTTTTTTGAGAAAACAAAACAGCTAGTGTTTTCAACTTAAATATTATATTTCAAAACTAAATCAACCTTCTAAGGAACAATTCTGCAACAGGCTAAATCCATTATCAGTGGGACCTTACAGCCCTCTGACCTGCTCAGCATCACAGACTGACACGCAACAATCCCTGAGAGAAACTCCTGGCTAGTTAATAACTTCTCTCATCCCAGGAAATAATACTTAAATACCAATAAATATTAAACTTATAGCAGTGCACAGTGTCTCAGTCAAACACAATGGTAAAAAGTTAAGTTTTAAAAAAAAGTAGATATATTTATCTGTCATCTATTTATTTCTTAAACTTCAGACTAAAGTCCCCCTCCTTCATACCACACTTCCAGGAAGGTCACCATAAAAAGCAGTCCCAAAGTGCCTGGACATGCACAGCACAATGAAAATATAAACACTGTGGAGTATGTTTGGAGGTCACAGGCCTCCCTGTGACACACAGTAGCCAGCTTATTTAGAAAGGTGCGTGGCTAATTTACAGTGATTTTCCAGAGGGTGCTAATTTTGGACAGAGAAGGCTTTCAATTAAATGCACTTACTGGAGACTTTAGAGACTTTCTAGCCAACTACTTAGAGTGTCTCTGAGTGCAATCAAGTGGTGAACAAGACAAACAGGAGCCAGCACTCACGTCTCTGGAAATTTATGGGAGAAGATTTGACTGGTGATGGCGAATTTAGAAAAGAATATGAAAGTTCAATGTACCCTCAAAAACATTTCTAAGCTGTCCTTTCTCATTTAAAAAAAAAAGTAAAACTACAATGTAAATAATATAATATCTTTAAAATAGTTTCAATACATGTCAAAGTTTGGACCTATTTACTTATTTCATCAAGTGTTCAAACATTTCTCTGGTACAAAGTAATGTTGCTTTAAATGTGAAGAAGTTGCCTTTTTCCTGGTACAACGACTCTCCCCTTGATCAGTTAAAATTTCCAAATATCCTTCTAAAGTCAGCTGTTTTACCTGAGACATAGTAGTATACTCGGATAAAGGAGAGCTGGCCCGAGTACACCTCACACTGGTAGGTGCCCTGATGCTTCAAAGTCACTGAGGGGATGGAGTAGAGCCTGTCAACGCCCACAGTCACTTCTTTAAACTGATCCAATTGCTGCGTTTCAACCTGAAGGATTAAAATGTTCTCAGTTGTTGTCTGCTTCACACAAACAAACAACAAAGTGTTAATAATAACAGCTCAGCATTTTATATTTATTAAATCTGTTGTCACAAGAAGTCAACTCTGTTCATGTGGTTATAAATTTGCAAAAATTTGTAGGCAACTGAGCAAAATCACACACTGACAAACACACCTGTTATTAGGAGACATCTTTAAGTCTGTAGTGCAGACCTAACTGTCTTCCAGCTCCAGACTCAAATTTCAAAGATTTGAAATCACGTTGCTCATTTCGTCTAACTCTAACTTGAGTAAGCTGGTGTGTGTATTTTGCAAAAATGTTGAACTGTTACTTTTAACAGTGACCCTGAATGATTCACCATATGCTGAGCGTACCTCCTCTGCGAACCTCCAGATCACTTCAATATCAGTTGGCAAGGCAAATGGCACGTCGCACCACATTCGAATCCTGCTGTTTTCCATAACTTTAATTTCTTTCACTGAAATAAACATATAGCCACCCACATGCACACAGACAAATGCACACACTCAGATAACATTCGCACAGGGGCAGCTCTTGCAGCCTGAGCTCTCCTTAATGATAATATTTAAGCCCAGTCTCAGAGGAGTCGAGTAAAAGTGATGATATGCTGAAGAGTGGCGGTGCTGTAAAGGCTTGATACGAATACCATGTGTGTGGGAGTCAACTGTCACCTTGCATAAAGAAACCAAGGACTTAAAGAGTACCTCGGGGGCTCTGTGCAAAAGATATAATGTGTGGAAATAAAACCTTTCCTCTCTTTCAAATCCTCACTTTTTGCTAAGAGCATTTCAAGGATCAAGAGTGGATGCTTATGGAGGTGAAAATAGGGCTATTTAAGGATATGTCACATCTGGATTAGTACTTATTTCTTTAGTTGGAAATTGTGACATAACAGAATCAGTGATGTGTTAGAGGTAATAATATGAATATCAGTGCTCACCTGGGCAGTCGAGAGGAAATTCACAGGAGTCGTACTGGCAGGTAACACAGTCGTACACTGCACCTGCACTCTGAAAACCTGATGGGTGAATGAAACCGATACTGATGCCAATATTATTTGGTTTCTAAAAGCAATGATTGTTATGTTGTAGAATCAAAAAAAAATACAATAAAATCAAGACAAACCACATGGAGGGATACATCCAGAGACTGTGAAGAGAATAAAAAACTTTGATTAATAAATATTACTGATACAGCATCCAGGAGTGAAAGCCAGTTAAAGCAAACCACCTTCTGGATCCTTCATGGTATTTTAAAGACTCTAAAAATGTAACTGGCATCTTAGAGAGAGTACAGAGATCACTGTAAGATGTGATGACCTAATATAAGTTATTATAGACAGAAAGATGGAGGAAAAGGGAAGTCCGTGGCTCACCTCTAGGCAGTTTGGAGGCAGCTGAGATGAAATTGTCTGCTGCTGTCTGCAACCTTTGCTCGTACACAGTGTCTGATAGATGGAGGGGAGGAGGAGGAGGAGGAAGACAGAAATATTTGGCTCAATTCATACTGGGGAATTGTGTGGCTGGGGGCATCGTTTTTTGTTTTTTCTAACTTCTCTTTTTCTGACCTCACTTAGCAAATGTATTACTCTTTTATCGATGCAGCTATACAGTCTGCTTAAACAGGTGTTTAGCTACCGTTATTCAGCTTTTGGTCAAACTCTTCCAACAGCGGGAGGACCTCTGCATCCAGAATTTCCTTCAGTTGGATGTCATAGCCTTTACCTAAAAAAATCAAGAAATTACATATCACCTAGATTTTTACATGCTGTCACAAACTGTTCCTAAATTGGCAAAGAAGAAACTCTTTCGCACCTACTCTACCAGCTTCAATCACTGTCTCATTATTGTTGAATATGCGGTCCAGCTTCTCGAAGCAGGCGTCAACGTTTCTCACATTGTACTCGGTCAAAACGTGACCCCAGCACAGACGGAGACTGTCTTCCACATCCACAAAACACTGATAGCAGCTTTGAGACAGGCACAACAGCAGGCTCACACACACAAGCCGCAAAGCAGATGTCTGCATCTTTCAATGTGAGCTTTAAAAACTCAACTAATGTTTCTCTGTAGGTGTTTTGATTCGAATCCTGGTCTCATAGCGACTAAAAATGTGCAAATTCTAAGGTTTTTGTTTTCTTTTTTCTTCAGGGCTTGATGAATTAGAGCCCTGTATATATGTTCACATCCCACACGGGGATAAAAGTAAAGTCTTGAAAGTGTATCACGCTCATCTTTTCTCGACACGACAGGAGAGCATCACAGACTCCTCTTTGTATTTCCCACCATTCTATTGTCTCTAGTCCCCATTTCCTGCTGCCTCAATGCACCAGTTTTACTGCAGAGCACAGAGATGAAGCGAGCCAAGGAGGGAGGTGGCGGCAGCGAGAGGGAGAGGGGCAGATGAAGATGGAGTTAAATGCTTGTGTACGTGTAGGGGATGGAGTGGGAAGGGTGCCGACGTGAAAACCCAAGAGAAATATATAATATGCGATAAATGAAAGTCTACCCGGTGGTGTGGGGTGGGGGTGGGGGGTGGACGGCGAGACGGAGAATGAGAAAAAGCCAAATATGAAAATAAAGAACAAAAGGGACAACAAAATCGATGGGGTAGCAGAGATAGAGAAGGAGTCAGTGCACATTATTGATGATGAAGTTTAGAAAAAATAGAATTGGTGAAAAACAAAAACGTGAGAGAAACAGAAACAAAGAAAAGACAAGAGGAGGTTAGGGAGGACACGCAAGTGACAGGCAGAGGCAGGGAGAGAGGGAGCGGGACTACAAATCAAGTCGACTGCCTCATCGCATCCTGTATCCCCCTCTCGTCTCCCATCCTCCTCATCCCCTCCACCACCACCCCTTCTCCCTTGTCCCTCACTCCTGGTGCATCTCCATGGCAACCAGACAGGGTGCCTAATACATGAACTTAATATATTTCCAGTGGCAGGGTGAGCTGGGTACTAATGCATTCATCTGTCTCCACACAGACAGGCCAATCAATATTAGGCAAGAGTGTGCTCCAGGACTGCCAAAGTCAGACAGCTAGTCAGATGGTTGGACATGGAAAATCCCAAATGAATGTGTGTGTGTATGTTTGAGGGCATTTAATTGTGTCTAGTGACAAGGACACTTTGATCATTTTTGCTGCTACATATCCAAACTCACTCAGAGCTTTCAAAATGTCTGGCTGTGAGAAAAGATGACTTTATGTATATGGAAGATTTGACACAACAAACAAACAAAACAAAAAAAAGAAGGAAATAGTGCAGGATCAGAGAATTCCCTAATCTCAGAGACTGTCTAGATAACATTAGGGGAAAGCTGGGATACAGTATATTTAGTGCTTTTTTGTTCATCATCCAATAACATGTTTGATTAAAAAAAAAAGAAAAAAAAAAAGAAATACACAGAGTACGTTTTCACATTTTATTAACATACAATTGTTAAAAACAAACAGGCAAGTATGAAAACTTGTACATGATCAAAAACAAATGATGCCATAGATTTTTGAAGGTGTCATATATGGCGGGGTCACAACCCTTGGCTGTCTTCTTATTTTGCCCCCCAACTGGGGTCTGTAACACAAAGTCAGCCAGAAGGGTTGGCTCCCTGAGATGGTCTGTGCTGCAGGACAAGCAGCCGTTCTCTTCTTCAACCTGAAAAGTCTTGACGGTCACTTACAGATACTGAGATGCATGAAATCCAGAAGAAACAGTGACAAGTATCGCCTGTCACTTTTCTTGCACTTAAAGTCCTTTTAAACATACCACTTTAACTCCAAGTGGTATCAAATATACTTTGTAGAAGAGACAGAGTGTATCATGTCGAATATAGTGCTAAAATGATCCCCTCCTCTACAGGATGTTGAAACTGAATGCAGCCCTGTTCCCGAGGACCTCACCTGTGACCTGCTTTGACCTCACAGGTTAAGGGTCTCAGGGACAGAGGGGCATACTGTAAAATTAAAATACACTGAGAAGGTGTAAAGACGGATCCAGTTATTATACAAAAATGCCAAAGCAGAGTTTCAAGCAGTTTAAATTCATTCGAGTTAAATGAGAGAACTGCAGAGTCACTGCACCGAGACAAAGAAATGACCTCATCTGACATTTGGATTCTGCGGCACCAACCGGTCTCCTGGTTTGCTGCAAATTAGAAGCAAAGCTGATCAGTTCAATTAAAACATAATCGGTGCATAATCATGACAGATTTGTCCTTGTTTTATCCACGCTAATCTTTTTGTTCTGCAGTTCATCAAATCAGATATAAAGTAACATTTTTAACAGCAGGCACACATACTCTCAGAAACGCAGCCGCTGAGAGCTCATTGCGGAGGAGACACAATTAATTTAGAGGAAACAATTAATTATAAACTGTTGGTAAATGCCACAGGAGTTTTGAACATAATTTCTCAGCTAGCATGGACAAATTACAGTTTCTAATAGCTTTTCTGAGCCCACTGAGCTGAAGAGATTTTAAAAATCAATTTGTGCTCATGTAAAATACGTTACTAGACCATTTCACATGCTGGAACTTAACACACATACACTGAAATCTTAAAGTTGTCAAAGCTGACAAATGATTATTTAAATATGTAAGCATACTTTGCATAGGTCGCATTTTCTTTTTGTTCTCTAGTAACTGTGGCGATACAACTGTTAAATTTTCCACAACTCGCTGTAAAGAGGACTTCAGATTACTCCATCCAGTCTGAGACTTTTTCATTTCAAAGCATCTTTCAGGATCTCCGTGCAGTTCTTATCATTATGGCGTAGCACTGTGCTTTGTCCGTCCACTTCTGAACGCAGGGCAGCATGTGTCTTCTGACTTACCAGCAAAAGAGGAAATTAGTTTTCAAACATTATGAAGAAAAAAGAAGAACCCGAGCAGGACACAGGCGGCATGCAAATTATCAATCCACCTGTAGATGACATAACATTATTACACTGCTTGGTCACTTAAACTATGGTGATATCACTATAAAACACTTCAAAGAAATAAATAAATGTCATTGCGTAGAAGTATTAGAAGGCAACGCCACCCACTGGTAGACAGACAGAATGACTGGAGAAGACTGCATATGACCATACCTTAAAATCCAAAATAAAATGGAAATATTTGTATTTCATAGCTCATCTGTGGAGAAATAATGTTTCATCTTGTTTTAATACATTCGCATTAATTTGAATAAAATGAGACGCATTGTGTCCACATCAGTTTGCTGCATTAAACTGAACTCCATTAATGCATATTAATGCATCACGAAAAACCTACAGGTTAACTTTATAAACGTCAGGCCTTCACATTTTGGGACACAGAGGTGCGATTTTTGAGGTTTTCTTTGTTAACAGTTGCAGCTGGGGCAAACCACAGGGAACAGCCGAAATGACTGGAATAACGGCAAAAGAGGTGGAAATGAACATTTGTTTAAATCTTGTCAGTATCCAGAGAACAAAACTCTGAGTTAATTACACAGCTCACAGAAATGATTATATCCAGGTTAATTAAAATGCGTGTCATTTTATTGCCTGTCATAACACTGAAATTCATTGACAGCTGTGAAGGGGAATAAATTAAAAAAGAGATGCACGAATGAGGTGCAAACAGAAAATGTGAATTAAAATGAAGGGCAACTTAGACACAAAATGCAGACATGACCTCGACAGCATGGAGCATGGATTCTAGACACTAATTGAAAGGCTATTCAGCATACGGCAACAAAGACAGAAGAGCAGAATAAATACCACAAATACAGGCACTTACAGGAGGGCTCTCATGCTTTTCCATGCACCATGTTTTATTACAGTCAAAGAGAAGAATGTGAAGTGAATTAGTGACGACAAAAGTTTCGTATTATAATGCATTTTAAAAGCGGCGTAAAAAAATATCACTCTTACTCTACATTGAACTTGTGACATAAAATGCGTTTTAAAAAAAAGAAAAGAAAGAAATTCACCTTACACTCAGCCTCTTCTTTCCTTTTCTTCCCCCAGTCAGAGTGCTTCTGTGTTTCCTCTCAGCTCCCTCTATTTCTGATGGTCTCTGCCGGGGCCAGACAGGGAGCCCGGTGGCAGGTAGGTTACAGACAATAGTATTGATTCCATTATTCTTCTTCTCACTGCCTACCTGCCTGACTAACAGCAGCACCTATACAACACTTCACCTTTTGTCTCTGCAGGGCTGTTGTCACAAACACACAGAGCTGCAAACAAGGGGAAAATAAAGAAGAGAGAGGGGTGAAAAAAAAAAAGAAGAGAGCTCACTTACTTGTGCGCTCACATTCACGTGTACACACCAACCCGCCTGGTGCACATACTATCCAACAGTTAAAAACGACACACACACAGACACACGCACATTTACCCTCCATGCTGCATAAGTGGTCTCCAGCCATCTCTTTTTCCTTTCCCTCTATCCAAGTCTCCTCTCCTCCTTTTCTCTCTCCTTCTTTTACACTCTCTGGTCGTCATCCTTCCATCTCCCTCTTTTTCCTCACACGTATTTCCGAGTCTCGTACAAACCCGGTAACCTCCCCAACACGCTCGCAGGCACACACGCACGCACGCACACGCTCACACACACGCTCCAGTCTGCAAGCTCCATATATCTGTGTGAAAGTGTGAGTGAGGGAAGGAGAGAGGGAATGTGAGTGCCGCGAGTGCATGCAGGCGTATGTGTGTGTGTGTGTACGAGACAAACTCTGTGTGTGCATATGTGTGTATATGTGTGTGGGGGGGAGGGGGGGGGGGGCAGGGAGGCTAGCAGAAAGTGGGGATGGAGGGGGAGGGTCAGAATCTCTAATAGGATGAGAATAGAGAGAAAATATGAAGCCCAGGAGTCTCATGAACCTGAGAGGCTGACATTACTGCCTCCTCATATGTGTACAGCAATCATACCGTCATCAAATTGATTACAGGATTTATGGTGTTGCTCCAACACTGCTGTAAATTGCAGCTGGAGTGACTTCAAACACACTAAATAAAGCCGTGGTGGAAAGCTCTGCTAATTGTAAAATGCGTCTTGATTATACAGCTTGACATCAGAGGTGAACAACATGCATTTAGCCATCCTGTACAGCCGAATTCATCCAAATGAATCTGAAATGTGGGGAGCTGCTTAAGGAGGAATGAGGAAATAACATTAAACCTGCACCCGTGTTGCATGCATAAGTAACAAAACTGCAACAGCTTTGCACGTACGGACAAATACAATCAATATTTCCACTCTTTGTTCAATCAGCTCACATCTCTTAAGGCAGTTTGATTCTAATATTTGAGCTCGTCTCCGGGAGGAAAGAGAGTTGCCATTGTGCTTGTTGGGTAACAGAATCATACAGCCCCCAGGGAAATTCAGAAATGAAAGTAAATCCAATTTGGACCCACTGATTGGCTGTCTCTTCAGCGAGAGCGAGCATAAACACTACACTTGATGGGTAAGCGTCATTAATGGCTCTAAAGTGTTCTGACCATGTTTTACAACAAAGCATATCACCAGTGCCTCACACATTTAGAGCAAATGGGGGTAAACTGACAACAAAAACACATTGCTTTTGGCCACAAAGTAGCTGCAGTGAGGAATTGATAAAAAACCTCAATGTAATGAAAAGCTAGTTAAGACCTTGGCAACTATAAAAATAAAATAGGCGAGGAGATAAAGAAAACAGCAGGAATAAATAGAAGCACACTGATTGCTTGTATCATTAGGTGAAAGTTTCAAAAGCCTTCTCACTAAAAAGCAAGAACTGACCAACAGCAAATGAAGTGAATCCATCTTCACCTTATTTCAAAAGGGATTTTTTCATAAATACAAAAAGCAGGAAAAAGAGCATTCATTAATAACACTTGGTTAATTAACCTGCATGCATATAGGCTATATAGTAGTCTGTGTCACCTTCAGACTTTTAACATCCTCCTCCATAGCTGCAATCATACTGTAATGGCAAGACACATACATTTGCATAGAAACAGCACTACAGAACGTGTTTACACAATCTGCTGGGATTTGTGCATTCAGTGGTCGGCACAATTCCTCTGCACCGAATGCGAGTTCCTCGTCTTGTGCAGCACATATAATCCACCTAATCCCGCTTTAATGTCACACAGACAAACGGCTGTGCGTTTATAACACACATATTCTGGCTGTGGATGGATTTCAGAGTGCAGGAGCCTTTGCCTGCTCTCCTCTGCCAGTAAACTAAAGCACCTCTTTCCAAGACAGAGGCAATGTGGGCGCCATTTTGGCAGAAGAACCAAGAAAAAGTCCCTCTCTAGCAGAACGGCAGTATCCGAACCCAAGTCACAAATGCATAACGTCACAGTCACAGACAGGTGTGTGTGTGTCTGTGTGTGCCTGCAGCTGCACTCTGCAGTGCCGCTGACAGACAAAGCACTGGGAGTGCTCCACAGGGATGACATCATCAGTCTGGGATGATGTCTGCCTTGTCTGTCTTAGGATCAGGATGCTCTAGTTTGCCGATGCACCCCACGAGACTGCACATGGCACTGTTTGTGGCAGCGCCGATTTTCACAAAGTATCGTGCAAAGTCTGATGTAGGCAGAGTAATGTAAGAATTTCTGCCTGAGTGAGAGGGCGCTTCAAGGAACTCGCAGCACTTCATATAGAGATTGTAGCATTTCAATCACAGTCCCAACAACTCCTGTAGGCGTTTTTGTAAGGAGCATAAGCGCATGCGGACGTCATGAGAATATGTTCACATAACAATCTGTTCACACATATGCACAGCCTGCTGCATATGCAGAGATGGAAACCAGGTACAAAAGGTCGCGAACGCAAACAGTCTTTACTATGTCAGCATGTGACACAGACAGAACAACATGCTAGGTTAATCGCACTTCCTCCCATGCACATTATTATCACTGCTCCACACACCTAGCAGTTGTCTGATGTTCAACTGTCTGCTCAGGCAAGAGAGCAGTGTTGCGCGGTGGATGATAAAGAAGGCTACGACTGACAGTGCAGAATCAGCACATTTCTGATATATGCCCCCTATTTTCCACCCCTTCCAGGAGGCGCGTGGGGGGGGGAGAGACTGTAACGCACTGCAGATGGCTGCTGTTTGAACCACCAGTCTGACTTGCTGAGGGGAAGAGGAGAGGGGGAGGAGGCAGGGAAGGTTTCAGGGTAATGAAACGGGTATAAGTACAACGGCAGACACGCAAGGCTTCTCAACCTGTGGTAGTATACAGCAGTCCGTGGATACTGTGAAATGGTGCAAAAATACAGGCAGGGAATTCATGAATGTCACAGTGAGGCTGTGTATGATGAATGTCACTTATGTGAGGTAACTGAAAGAGGGGGAGAGTAGTAGGTTATTTTCATTTAACGAGTGTAGTCTTACATTTTTATATTAATTAGAAGTCTTATTTCATCATTTGGAGCTTTAAAAACACCTAAACTAACCTGTGTGGTTATATGCGAACAGCTTGTTAAGCAGCCCCTTTCCTCACAATATAGGGCAGTTGGATTATTTTCTAGGGTTTTTCTTTCTTTACGTATTAGTTTCTACTCAAAGTCAGAGTCAGCTGCTTGATAAAAATGGACGTTCACCGTCCTGTCTTAAGGGTATTTTTGCTGCAGTACGAGCCACTGATTGCTGTACAGCCAACAACCTGTCAAGCAGCGGGTAGTCATCCCAACAACTACAATCCAACTGCCACAAATATTGCCCATGAAATGACACAGACCCGGGAAAGAGACTTCATGAGGGTTTGCCCAAAGGAGAGAGTATCATGATAAAGACCTTGAGGGGATAAAAGGCGCTGCAGTTGAAAAGGACGTGCCGTGTCATTAAACACTAGGAGATCCGCTCACAGAGTAACAAAACATACTTACCTCTCTGCTGGTGGTACACTAGACGTGGCTAGAAGTGACTCCGCAGGGAAAGCTAGAAGGTTGTACAGTTATCTCCATGCTGTTTATTATGCGAAACCATACAACCAACTACCTCACACTGCAGAGCACAGACTGTAGAGACTCCAGACAAGATTTCAACAGCAGGACGTAGGCGTCTGTGTACATACTCACCTTTCTGCCTCCTACCCCATGCCCCGCTTTACTCTTTCAGCAATACATTCATAGTGTAAATGCCCTCTTCACTACAGAATTCAGCAAGTGTTGAGACTGAGTCGCACAAACTCAAATGGGAATTTATCCTTTGATTTCCTTTTGTGCACTTTTCATTGTGCTATGGAACGTCTCTGTTTGCTCTTGGATTTGGGCAAAAAAATCGATTCACTGACATTACAAAGGGCTGTTTTTTGTGTGTGTGTGTGTGTGGGGGGGGGGGGGTTCTATTGAGCTCGTTCAGTGGCGTGTTTTCTATTTCTTTTTTATGAATAGCAGGAAAAGAAGAATAAGAGATGCATGTTACTTCTGAGCAGTAATAAATGGGGACTGAACCTGCAATCATGATTGAAACGTGGGAACTGTAGGTGGCTGCAACCACACAAAAATTCACCTCCAGTCCTGCAGTGATGCCACGGGAAGGAAGATGTTAAGTGGCTGCATTGGCACATGTTGTACAGAGCACATGTATACAAAAGCACAAAGACTCGGCATGCATATGTATGATGCTGGAGGATGTCTTATGTAATCAAATGTACTGTAGGAAGGAGAAAACCTTGCTGGTCTGAAATTTGACAATGCTGGAACAGAACTATGAAAATCCTTTTCCTGACATCTAAGCCTCTCATACAAGTGTGAGTACTACAAAAACTTCAATTTATCCATTCATTCATAGTATTTCCAACCATTTCTTAGGACTTGTTGCCCTCTACTGGTGACTGGGCAAACTCCTGCTCACTTCCCCTTCTGGCCCTTGTTCTATCAGTGCCACTAGTCTGCAATAGAGCAGCAATGACAGCTACAAAATACGATTCCAGGGGTTGACTGCGACATGCAAAGAATTACAATCACAGTCTCCTATTCTATCAGAGCCTGAATTTTGTCTTTGGAAAAAAGAAGTCACGAAGCAAAATTATTCGTCGACCTATTGTTGAACCAAATTCCTACATTCACTGACTGCAGCATTTCATCCACATCAACTGTCCGATTTCACTTAAGCGCTGACAGGTTTTCATGAGAGTTAAAGGCCATCTGCCATAACACTGTCACAAGCATCAATTCTACTGTCAGCTGTTACATCTAAATCTGGGGGACTTCTGCTTCACAGTCAAGCAGGAATTTCCTTCACATTACAAAATGATTGCTAAACTGAAACTTTTTAGGTGGGTGTAGATGCTCTCTGTAGAAATTGCAATTGTTGTGTGCTGCGGTGCTACATTTGCTGGCACAGTGATACATTCCAGCAGAGACCAGCCAGGAGTGATAGGCTACTCTGAACACTCATTCAGACATAACTGGGGCAAGATGATATGCTGTGCAAATGGTGTTTAAAGGATTCCAGCAGACCCTTATCAGGGCAGAAATGTAACAAGAAATGATATCAAAGTAAAGATGATTATAGAAATGTAAAGTTAAAACGTTTCTGCATGCACTGACAAAAGAGAGCTATATGTGGGAGCTCTGCATTCTCTGCATGAAACCGGTATGCAGGATTTAAGGAATCTGACTTCCAACAAAGAAGCATTAGAGACATAGAAAAGAAGAAACTGAATAGCCTATCTTGAAAGCCTTGAGCCAATTGAACTGCAGTTTGGTGTAACTTAAAGGGGAAAAAAACTAAGTTAATATGTGCACATCTTCCTCCTCTTCCTCGTTTCTTTCTTAGTATGCATTTATAGTCCAAACCACTCTTTTTCTGCCACTCCCTTTCAATCTTCTGTCCCAAAGTGCACCCCCACTCCTCCTTCCCCTCACCCACTCACCCTTTTTTGGCTTTTTTTTTTTTGCTTCATCCCTCATGGGTCCCCATTTCCCGCCTCTTACCCTTTTAGCCACCCTCTGTCTTCATACCCCCCTCCTGCCCTTTGAACACACACATGCTGGCATTTTTACATACCAACAAGCTCCTCTACTTTACTCCGTGTGCAGTATTTCACAGTCAAATCACGCAGAAATGCAGTGTAACTGTGCCAGTGTCAGCTATCATTCACTCGCTCCCTCTTTGTCTTGCTCGCTCCACCCTTAAGCAGGCCTATTGAGCATTTAAGCTGTAAAAACAAAAAATACTCCACTATGAAAAATGTGTGCAGCAATTCCCGAATGGGTTGGTGTAACTTCAAGTTCAAAATTCCTCGCATACTTGAGCATCATCCACGAATGCTGACGCAGAATGAGATATCACTCAAGTCTTTAAAAAAAAAAAACTTCCCTGATTTACAAGTTGACACAACAAGTTTACAGTAAATGATTTCTTGCTGTAGGTGATGATGCAACTAGGAAAATGTAAAGTGGAAAATACCTGTCCTCTCTGAAAGTGTGCAGTACCATCTGATTTTTATCAACCAGGTTTCTAAATCATGTATTAGCATGCAACTTCTGCCACGCCCTTTGCATTTCCAACACTGTTTCTGACAGAAGCCATCTCCACGCTGTTGTTGATATTTTTACTGTTACAGAGTGACAGTGATCTGATGTAATGTGTGTTTTTCCCCAGGTAAAAGCAGTTCTAACCTAAAGTAATCTGCTTTGGTGTACGCCAACCACATATACCAAGATGGCAAAATGAATGTTGCCATGGGAACCTTTTGCCTGGCAACTCTAACAGCCTGGCAAATAGCCAAACTGTTGCTATGGCACAGCTGTCAAGCTACGTATACTGGGATTGGTGTGTGAGTGGTTGTTCATAATGCCTCCCATCCCAAGTTTCCAATCACATGCCTGATGAAAGAATGGATCTGATTGGAAATGAAGTACTTGGGTTTTAAAGGGGGTGACTTTGTGGTGGTGGAGGGGTGTTTAACTGAAAATGAGCTTGGTCCATTTTTTCCCCCAAAAGCATCCTCATTTGAAATCTGATTGCATCTTACGGTTTCATGATTTTATTTTGCATTTTGGTTTAAAATCCCTTTTTAGACATCACAAAATATTTTGATGTTGGGTTTTCAGCTGCTGGTAAAATGCACCACAGGTTAAATTTAACTGAACTGTAGGACAAGCATTGTTTAATGTCTAATAAGTCAAAGACAAATATTTTAGACTCCTAAAGCTCTAAGGAGTTATTGCAATCCACTCTGCCTCTGGGCTAAAATTTGTAAAACAAAGTGGTGTGAGTATATGTTAATATATCTGTGAAGCCTGCCCTTTGGCTTACAGCCTTTCTAAATGTCATTTGAAATATGATGATAATGAATTAATTTTGTAAGTAATGCCAATGCCATCTGAGTGATCTCTTATTTACTAAAGATCCATACATTTCTAAATTAAAAAATAGATGTAATGACTATTGAGGATCTATATTTTTGTACAGATAACAGAGATGATGAAAGAGAGCTATTAGTCTGCCAGAGTGCAGATATTTCAATCCGCACACTTTACAGTGAGACTATACATAACTCAGGCTTTGGACAAAGATGCTTTTACTACTAAGTCCCTCAGGAGACTGAAAAGATTTGGCATGAGCCCCCGCATCCTCAGGACCTTCTATCGCTGTGCCATTGAGAGCATCCTCACTGGATGCATCACCACCTGGTACGGCAACAGCACCGCTCGCTTACAACCGTAAAGCTCTCCAGAGAGTAGTGCGGTGTTCTGAACGGATAATTGGAGGTGAGCTTCCCTCCCTCTAGGACATCTACAGGAAGCAGTGCCTGAGGAAAGTGGGGAGGATCATCAAGGACTCCAGTCACCCCAGCCATAAATTGTTCAGACTACTTCCATCAGGAAGGAGGTTCTGCAGCATCGGGTCCCGAACCCGCAGACTGGAGACAGCTTTTTCCATCAGGCCATCAGACTGCTGAACACTTCATAGACACCTCACCTTCACTACTGGAACTTCAACATTATGCACTCTACACTGTATATAAATACCACTGTTTTGCACATGTCCAACTACCAACCTCTGTATATTTTATATATTTTATTTTATTGTTTACTCTATTTAATTTGTAAAATATGTATACACACACACACACACACACGTAGAAAAACATATTTAGTATACACATCCAGTAATGCATACACTCTTATATTGTACATATATTTATTACTCTCAGATTTAGCCATTTTTATATTTTGCTTGTTTTATGTTATTGTATTTTTGCACAACTCTGTTGCTTGTGAAGCTCACACACAAGAATTTCACTCGCATGTACTGTACCAGTGTACCTGCACATGTGACGTGACAATAAAAGTGATTTGAAAGTGATTTGATTTGAAGTCTATACTCAGCTTTGAAAAACATCTTTCAGTTAGTTTATCACTTTAACTCTTTGCAACGCACCCTAAAAATGAATTCACTGGTAACTTTGCAGCTGTTTTACACGAGTTTAGAAAAATGTTAGGAGTGTCAGGATGGAACGTTGTATGAAAATATGCTTTTGCTCACATACAGCACACAATCCGAGATGGTTGACTTTACTACTACTGGACATGTTGCTCTGGCTTAGTCATAGAAGCGTGCAGGAGGTAGAGCTGTGTCCGCTTTGCTCTGTGTAAACCAATCAGATCGGCACTATTCCCACCTGTACTCAAATAGATGCAACTGGACTTTACACATTATCGTCATCAGATAATATCAAGAAGAGTTCAGCATGGTGAAAAGAGATTAATTTGAATTCATGATCACAAATTATTTGGCTCTGTTTGCACCTGTTTTAATTGATCTGCCCTTCACTGACAGTGTGCAGTTTCATTTTAATGGGTAGGTAAAAGTATCTTTTATTTGTATTCTTTAAAGCAAACTGCTATTAACAGAGATTCTTTTAGTTGAAAACCTTAATTTAATTTACACAGGAAATTCTGTTGCCTTTTCCTGCAGTGTTAACATCTTTTTATTCTGTTAAGTGTGGGCTTGTTTTACAGAAAAACATAATAAGGCAAATTAAAAAAGAAATGTCCTTGTCTTTGAGACTACTACCTGGTATGACTGAATAATCAAAGGCCTGATAATAAGTGAATTATTTTCTCTTTGATATTCTTGTATTACAACCTGCTACAGGTATCAGCTAATAATCTGTCAATATTTAATTTGGCTGCCTAACAAAAGAACAAGAACCGCAACAAATGAAATGTGTACAATAACATATTGTTTAAATATGAGTATGAATATGTGTGTAAGTGCGTGAGAAAGCCATCCATTCACAAGAGGCCATTATTTCTCCACAGAAATCTGTAAAATGTCCTACTGAGATTTTCACCTTGAGATCGCTGTCATGTCGACGTTCTGGATCTTCCTTTAGACTTGAACCGAAAAGTAACTGAAAAACACAAAGAAAACACAGATGGTATCAAGGTTAGAGTGAGTAAAACTGGCCTTGTGAATTAAAAGACTCCTGTTTACACAGGAGGTCACAGGTTCAATGTCAGCAACAGCTGAAGAGAGACTGGACAACCTACCAATTTAATGTAGCAGATTAAAACAAAATGAGCACGGTCACTACTGAAGCAGTACAAAATCTGAAAAAAGATTATTCAATTATTTCGTTTAATTACACCACTCAAACAAAATAACTACAAAGGGAAAGCACACCATTTTTTGTGTATGTTGACACAATTTTAATTTTCATTAAGGATTTTAATGTCAGTATTTAGACATAAAAATAACAAGGGAAAGGTGATCCAAATATTCAGCTCAGGGGAAATCAAAAGGTGCATAAACTGAGAGAGTAAAAACAAAATGACACAATCAAATGATCAGTTTATTACCACTTAAAACATCATGACACGAACCTGTATCTAAGTTTTACAATAACTCTGACACATGGAAAAACACATGGAAAACATGAGGCTTAAAGTGCAAAAATCAATTCATGCATCTCAGTTAATTTCATTATATTTAGTCTGATTTAAAAGAAAACTGTTTATTGCTTTTTGAATGCTTCCATTTAATAAATGATTTGATATTTACTCACTGTGAGTTTTTGCTATGAGGGAATTACTCAGAAAGGGATAATGCTTTTAGATGCTATCATATCAGTGTTTTACTGCTTACAGCTAACATGGAAAGGAATCACTGTTAGAAACACTGTAACCTAAATTGCGTTTTATGCTTATTTTTCTAAGATTTTTTATTTTTAAATAAACATATCAGGGTGCTCAAGTCTTGATGTTTGAAAGCCATCTCAGTGCACACATGCGTTCTGCAGTATGGACAAAGCAATGCACCAGCTTGAAGCGCTAAGCCTCCTGCTCCGGTTTGATAAATATAACTTCAAAAGAAGCAGCCAAACGGCTTTAGCTGGCCGACTGCACAATGAGCATAATAACTCCCCACCTCCTGGGAGCTCCAGCCTAGTTCATTTACCCTTCCAGAGCGCTGCCAGGTCAGTATGTGCACATGTGTCTTTGTTTCACTGCAAGCCTCTTGGAGGCTCCCCACCTTCTGTTCAGTACAAAGCGGATGTATAGAGGAACCTTTTGGACCTAATTTTTTTACAGAGGAAATGCAGTCCCCCCCTTTACTCTCCTCTCTTCTATTTGCCCCTCACATGTAATGCCTGATTGACCACAGAGCCCCTTAAAGAGGTCAAAGGGCAGACAAAACAGTCTGGTGTCATGGCAACCTGTGTGCCACCAACCAGAATGTCGGGGTAGAGGAGGGGGATCAAATGGGCTGTCAGTTAAACCTCTTAAAATGCAGCTTTGTGTTTAGGCTAATGTGTGGGCAACATACAAACACGTAATGCACCTGCACTGTGAAATGGACCCTCCTAATTTGCACTCCACAGCCCGGAATAATCAAGCCAAATCCCCCAGTGCAATGCAGTTAAGTGTAGTACCTATCAAAGTGTCACATGACGCGCACGCTGCAGTGATGTGTCGGACTGCACGTGCACACGCTTGTAAGTGTGTGTGTTATTTGTGCGCATGGGAAACATTCCTGTGTAAAAGGTTCTTTGTGACCGCTCAATGCAGTGGCAGTGCATACGTGATGGGGGAGGGGTGCTAACGGATAAATGGGAGGCAAATGCATTCAGATCAATATTGAGCTGAGAGAGGGTGAGTGGGGTTGCGAAGGGAGAGTGGAAGGTGGTGAGTAGAAAGGGTGGGACCATGGAGCGACTGATTAATCATTCCTGTATTGTTATTGACTTTCTGTTAAAGGGAGTGCGTCAGACTCTGAATTATGTCCCTATATATATGTGTGTGTGTGTGTGTGTGTGCGTGCGTGTGTGCGTGTGTGCGTGCGTGCGTGCGTGTGTGAGCGTGGCTTTACTGTATTCATTGAAAGCACAAAGTCATCAATTACAGACTTCGACTTCCAAAGGGTTGGCACCATTACTGGTCTAGCTGCGCTCTGACTAGCTTTTGCATTCCTAGTGTTCAGTAACAACTTTTGGCCGTTGGTTCACAGAGTCAGCACAATAACTGTGAAGGATTTAATTATTCATGTTTTGTAAAAAGAGCTAATATGCTGTTCCATTTTGAACATGAACAGGAAAGTGAAGGAGGTGAACAGGAAATCCCATGTGAGGAGTTAATGAGGAGCTGTCGAGTGAACAGACACAACAGAGCGGGAGGCAGGCGGGGAAGCAGCTACATGTGGAGGAGGGGCAAACACTGCCCTGACATCTGACCCTCTGACTGTGACCTTGTTCACTGTCTGAAAGGGCAGAGACTGGACACCCCTCAGCATGAGCCACGTGCGAGCAATATTTTAAACGATTCGCTTTCAATAATTCTTTAAAAATAGCCAAAGGTTGGAACCAAAACCCTTATTTAAATAAATAAAACTGACATAATTAGTTTGCAATTATAACCAAGATACTAACATCAGATGATGCCAGAGGCAGTATTTCCTCTAATTATGACCCTTTTGAAAAACAGCAGCTTGTCAGGGGATGGAGGGCTGAGCTAAGTGAATGAAAACCCTATTCAGTGTTACCTTGAACTTGAACAATAAGTCTGGTGTTTGTGCTGGGGCCACTTCCTGACCCTTCCATCTCTCTGTGGAAGCAGCCAACCAAAGCTCTCCTTTCATCTTACAGATGTGACCCTGATGACCTACTGACCAAAGAACAGGCAGCTACTGCAGGTTTTAACTCAGCTACAGACTCCTTGATCCTAAACATTTTTGTACTTACACAATTCTTAATGTATGGATATTAGTTTGGCTACTACTTGGCTCTTAAACTGACAACCTTTTGTGCTAAGGAATCACAAGGTTCATTTTCTAATGATACATTGAACAACACTGAAATTTTTCTTGTTTTCCACCACTTCAACGACTGCACCTCCTCCCATTGTCTAGCATTAAACCCTTTCTTCCCCCTCAGACGCTTTCTGTCTCGCTTTATCACCCACTTGTCTCTACCTCTCAGACAGCATGTTTCTTTACACCTTCATCTTTCTTTTGCCTTCTATCGTCATGTTCTCTCCCCTCCTCCCTGTTGTATTCTCTCCTCTTCCCTGCCTGGCACCAGAGAGCTGGCACGCTCAAGGGAGTCGTTGTGTGACGACACCTCATTGCAGAGTGCGTGTATCACTGCAAAGTGTAACGAAGAGCCTTGTGAATGCCATCAATATGCTTACAGAGGACACACAGTGACACGTTAAACCACTATCAATAAACAACATATGCTTTTAGCATTTGTGTCTCATGCATATTTTTTACTTGAATTTAAACGCTTCTTGTCAGTATGAAACGGGAGCTAGCTTAAATTAACTTAAAACAGAGAATGGAAACAGCTAATCGAGCTTTGTTAGAAAGATTACATACCAGCACACAAGATAATACCAGGGCTCAGTAAACATAATGTTCCATTTGATTTTATTTATATACAATTAGGTGCTGGTAGGAGCCAGACGAGACTTTTTAGCATTATATTTATTGGACAGCCATGAGAGTGGTGCCAGTTTTGTCATCTCTTGAAAATAAGTATCTTATTATATTTTCAAAAATGTGCAACTACACTTTTTTAAACCTGGTTTGTAGTTGAATCAATTCATGTGATATGCAGTTATGTGAAAAACTAAGTAGACCCTGAACGCTTCCATAACAATTAACATTTTAATAGACTATAGAAATGTCATGGTTCTACCTATGCCGCTGCCCTATGATAGCTGGGAGAGGATACAGTCTCCACAACCCTTAATTGGGTAAGTGGTAAAGAGAAATGATGGATGGATGAACAGGATGAACAGATGGATGCTAATCAAGTAAATTAGATAAACTGATCATCTGCAAGTGTCATCACTTCTATAAAAAAAGAATTTTGGGCAAATTTGCTGGTCTGCAGCTTCCAAGTGTGTGCTAATGCAATGCCACAATCTTGCAGGAAAGATTGTGAAAGCAAAATAATTTCAAGGTCAAGTTGTACAATACTCAGAGAACTTTTGAAAAACCCAAGAGCTAAATCCCTGACTCTCAGACTAGAGGCAGTCAAGTTCAGCATGTCACATTTGGAAGTTTATTGCAGTAGAATTAGAAAAAGATTGACAACTGTGGCTTGCTTGGAAAGGTTACAGAAGAATGCATCTTTTCTTTAAAAGGACATGACACCATGTTTGGCGAAAACCAGGCATAATAATCCAACTGTTAGGTACAGCTGTGACAAGGCAAGGATTTTAATTCCAATTGTATTTATTTATTGTCAAATGACAACAACTGTTGCCTGAAGGGGTTTTATATTGTAAGGCAAAGACCCTATAATAATACAGAGAAAACCCCAATAATCATATGACCCCCTATGACCAAGCACTATGGCGATGATTTAGTCTTGTTTTGCAGCCACATGAACTGGGCACCTTACAGCCATTGAGTTGACCCTGAACTCTTCTGTACACTATAGTGTCCTAGCCTCAAATGTGAAGCCATCTGTCCAACAGCTACAGCTTGGTTAAAACTAGGTCATGCAACAGGACAGTGATGCTAAGCTCATAAGAAAATGCCTGAAAAAGAAAAGAATCAAGGTGTTGTAATGGCCCAGTCAAAGTCCAAACCTTAACCTGATTGAAATCTTGTGGCAGGACCTTAAGAGAGCTTTGTATAAACAAATGCCTGCAAACCTCAATGAATTAAAGTATCATTGTAAAGGAGAGTGTGCCAAAATTCCTCCACAATGACGTGAGAGACTGATAAAGTCATGCAGCAAACACTGTGAGCTACAGAATCATGGGGTGTATTTTTTTTTGTTTTTTTTACAAAGTCTTGTGAAAACTTTCTTTTTCACATGACTGTTTGAACAGATGATACCGGATGACATCAACAAAGCCAGTTCCTCAGGAACCTACTCCATAAATCATACATGACTGATGTACTGAAGAGGAGCCAGCAGGAGAGCCCTGCGCTATAGCATTATCAACACTCACTCACAGTTTCACTATCGCTTCCTTTTTACCCAACCCCCAACTCCTGAGGCTCTCACACACATCTAAAGAGTCAGAGAGGAGACGTGCAGAGGATCAAAAGTTGAGGCAGAACACAGCAGATAAAGATGTGCATCAAGAATGAGACAGTGGTAGGAACGTGTTGATAAAGATGTGACAGAGCTGGATAGGAAGAAAAATGAGACAGACAAGGGGGAAGAGGGGGAAAGAGAGGATTGAGACAGTTAGGGGAGGTAAGAAGCAATGCTGTGACCTACTAATGCAGAACTGAGGAATTCTCACTGCTGACTCCAAACACATTCCTACAGCTTGCAAATATTAACCCCCACCTTACCACCTCTGCTTGCTTTTGAACACAGAAGGCAGCCACCTGGCCCGTATATGAGGAAACTATTCATTCACATTAGAATAGAATAGAATAGAATTCAACTTTATTGTCATTGCACATGCACAGGTACAGGGCAACGAAATGCAGTTTGCATCCATCCAGAAGTGCTTTAGTGATATAGATATATTAACAATATATATTAGCAATAATATAGATATGTGAGTATATTACAGAAATGGGTCTATTATGGTGTGTTATAATGTACACGGTATGAAGTATGTTGTGAATATTCTATAACTATAAGTATGTACAGGCTGTAGTGAGTACAAGCTGTGTACAGGCTATGAACAGGATATAAATATGAAAAACTATACAGAATATGAAATAAATAACTTTACAGAAATCTGAGATATACAGCTATACAGAAATGGGAACTATGCAAGTTGTAAACAGTTGTAGGATTAAAAATTATCGAATGTACAGAATGATTATTTACACAGAGCTATACAGTAGTGCAGTTAAGATAAGTGAGATATAATTCCTACAGAGGCTATATAAAGTGCTAGTGGTTGTGAGTGGTGGTGGTTCAGTCCAGGTTAGCCAGGTTCAGAAAAGATTCTGACACACTGCTCCAATGCACAAAAATCAGGCAACACCATGGAGGCAAATGTACCAGAAGACTCATTTCACAATACCAGAATATAAAGAAGAGCTAAATAAGCAAACACATGTTAAGTGTATACAATTTTCTGTTAGTCTCATTGAGTTGAGAGAGAGTCATGTTACATATTATCATATTTTACTTAAATTCTTAAATTCAACGTATTTTATAAAAGCCATAAAAGAGGTGACTTATACCAAACACTAAAAGATTGTAACAGTAGCCACTGAAGTTAGAGGCTGATATGGATTCTGAAATTAATTCAACATACATTTTTAAAGAGATGTTACTAACATATGTGCTAAGCAATTGAGAAAAAAAGCAATCATGATGATTCTAAACGATATGCACATCTCAGAAGAAGGAGTGCAGTAGGAGTGAATTTTTCTAGGCCTACAGTTCTCTACTGCACTCCATGTTAAGGCTTTACTGTTTAATGGGTACAGCACTATTGCCTGTACCAAGCTCCTGGGTTCAAAGAAACTTCCTGTACCCGTTCCTTTTCAAGTGTACAAATGAATAATAATAATAATAATAATAATAATAATAATAATAATAATAATAATAATAATAATAAAATATATGAATAAAGAACCCATGTACCTGCACATTTTTAAAGGTCGGCTACATTAAGGTACAAATTTGCCACCAGAGGTTGAAGACTGGGCTCTGTGAGGTACAAATAAGTAAAAGCACGCAAGTATGGTTGCAGCACCTTAAAGAATGCCACTCCAGTGACAAGCCATGGTTCCCCCTAAAATACAAGAAGGTACTTTATGTTCTAGGAGTATATATGCTGGCACCATGATTGCTTTTTCACTGTAGCTGTACTTCAGATAATCTTTTTTTAAACTGCTGTTACTTCTAAGCAAAATATCAATGTTAGCTATTAAAAATAACAGCAAATGAGTGCTATCAGCTCCAGTTAAGCATTGAATATAAACAGAAAGTGCACTACCCCGCTTAATAAAAAAAATCCCTGCACTGAAGATTTTACTTGCATGGAAGTACAACATATTTTAACAGTGTATTCATTTATATCAATTTGTATAGCATTGCCTGATTGATATTTAGGTTTTAATGTGTAATTAACGTGCAGTTGGTTAATGTGTATGGTATAAAAGATTGAGCCTTTTATTGCATTCAATATACGGCATTTGAACATTTACACATTTCAACAGAGACAAAGCATCTGCAGTAATAAACCAGCTTGAATGTATATGAAACATTGCTAGGCAGCTGAAAATAATTCAAGCCATGCATTTTTTAGAGGTAGAAAATTTTCTTTTACAAGGTCAGTTAGAGATTTAAACTGGTGCAAAAACTTGCATCCTATGCAACAGAGAGCAACATTATCAGCTTCGTGCCAATAAAGGAGGAGGGCCCTATGGATGTCCAGATGGAGCTCTCGCAGCTCCGGCCCCATTTCAGCCCCATATCCTAGAGAAGGCAGACAAACACTGATGCAACTGGAACACTGAGTCCAGGGGGAATAGTTCTCACTCAGACCGTGAGAGAGCATTAGTACATCTACAGCAGTCACGTGGTTCAGCGCTTTCTCACGCTGGGCCTGGCTGCCTGTTGTGTGTGGCCCTTTTTCCTATCTCTTTCACACCAGAACTACATAATTGATAGTGAAGGCCAAGTTATGTTTTATAAAGTGAAACACATGAATGGCTTCCTCTCCACTCTAATGTTTAGATGTGCTCGGGTAAGTAAGTGGCAGCCTCAAGTTGAGAGGTTTTAAATAACTGATAGGTTCTTTGTCACTTCAAAAAGCCATGGCAATCCATTATTTCTGCCAAAGGATTCAGTATGGCAAGACACTTCTGTGGCCATGTAGTCAGTGTCGAAACTGCTTATTTGCTCTGAGTGTTGAAAAGTGATAATTAGTGCTTAATTAGCTTAATTTTTTTACAGTTTCCTTATTTTTTAGTTTGGCATAACATGATTAAAAATAAAATATACAACCCACTGATGTATTAGTACCAAACTCAAAATGTGGGTAAATCAAGCTCCAAGGAATTTATCATTAGTGTAAATAATGTCTAAATAATCCTACGTAAAGGGCAAGAACAACAACAACAAAGAAAATCGCTATAATAATTCAAAATGATGCACGGATCCCAAATATCATCATCCCCCGTGCACCGTGTATACCGCACAGCTACACTTTGTGATGTACAAGCTGAAGTGCCACTCACTAATGCAGGAATTAAGGTCAATGAACTGTACAATTATCCAAATTATTTCTGTGAATTTGCTGTACGTTTTGGTTACACTGGAGTTGAAGTTGTTGCTGCTTAATACAAACTAAATCAGTAACTGCACTGATAACGATTAGACTTCTTAGATATGAATATTTGTGAGTTTAATGAAGTTTTCAATTATAGCAAATTGAGTATGTTGTGGTTTTAGATGTTTCGGCCACACTATACAGTTGACAGCTTAGGCAACATTTTGACTATGCTTTGATATTTAAATCCACTACTGGGAAAACACCTGCCACAATAATTATTGTGAAAATAAGCTATTTACTATTCTCTTATGTGTTTCTTTTACACTAAATCTTACTCTCATTATGCAGTCAAATGCCTGAATATGGGGGTATTTTGTGCCTTCATTTTGTGATAATACAAACGATTTTATACTTTTGGCCAATAATGCATGGTACGTAAACTGGTATTCCAAAGCATTAAATTGGGTATCTAGCAGTGAGTTTTTGGTGCAACCATTAGCACACTCTCCGTTTTGGTTCTCTTCCGGTCAATCAAAGGAATTTCTCATATCTACTACTCTATATCCATCTCCCAACTATGAATTTAGAAGGAAAATGAATAAAGATTTGCTCAAATTTAACTGGGCATGGTGATTTGGTGATTGCTCTTCATTGTTCCATTGCTACAACCTGTACAAACCAGCCACCAAGGTCGGCCGCCTGTTAGTTTTGTACCAACACTAAGTCTTGGTTTAAATCAGATGTATTCAGATCAACACTCGGAACTGCGATCGTCCCCCTATTCAAACTCTGATCCTAGTCACGAAAACCTTTTTACTCCCCTTTGTCAAATGGCACACCCTTGCACAGAGACTCACTATCTGTGCGTTTTGGAATGAGCGCCTGGATCATATTTTCTTCAAAATGGACAGGATGGATTGTTAAGAATATATTTCAAAGACGAGGTTATATTATAGATTTCCAATATGACAGTAACTTGTCAAAACTACCTAATGAAGGCGAGGCCATGAACAAACAGCGGGGTGAGGACGAGATGAGAGGGATGCATACTGATACCACAAACAAACAGTGAGGGGAAGTAGAGGGTGGGACGTGTCAGTCCCAAAGTCGGGAGCATGATGACCAAATAATCCAAATTCAATCCAAGTTTCATATCAGCTGAAGCTGAAGATCCAAAACTGGGCCGAAGACACATTCACTATGTAACACAATCATTATTAACGCATTATTAATATGTTGAAGATTTACAAAGACAACGACAGACACAAAAACGACACAAAAGTGAGTGCCCCAACCCCATTCTTCTTTCCCCGTTATCCTCCCAGCTGGGCCCCAAAACCAGCCCTGAGCTGTAACTGAACGAGACTTAAGGAAAAACGGTTTTAAAGCAAACGTGCAAATTCTGCTAAGCAAACAAAAATGATAAAAGACATGTTTGAAAGATTGGAGAAGGATGGAGACGGGAAAAATGTTTCAGTGGGAGTGGGAGGAAGGAAAATGACTTTATGTGCACAAATCAAAGCAGATCCGAGAACAGGAATGAAAGAGGCAAAAAAAGGAAAGAAAAAAAAACACGATTACTTCCCAAATAAAACGCCGAAAGAAGGAAATAAGAAAATATTATAATAACATCTAATTCCATTTTTCTTTTACCTTTTCCCACGTATATTTTCCAACTTGAATCTTCCTCTCAGTCCCCTCATCCTTACTCTCGACTTAGTGCTTTGCCTCTTGACTTGCAGCCCTGCATCTCTATGTCACTCCAGCCGCATCACATTTTATCCACTGTTGTCTCGCCTTGTCTTTCACACAAACCATTAAAAAACAAACAAAAAAACCCCATCTTTTCTTTATCCCGTTGTGGACGTAAGGGGAAACATGCCTTACAGACAAAGGAAATTAACACCAACCATGAGGAGGAAAAAGTGCAGGACGGAAAGGCGGCCGACAAAGTCAGAGGCAGTAAAGTGAGAGGCAGGCTGATCCGCTCCTGCTGCGGCTGCTTCTCAGTTTGTAGCTGGGACAGCATGGTGCTGGAGCTGTGCAGAACGGCTTCCACCGCACGGTTATAACCAGAGGACAAAAAGCCAAAAGTCTCAGAGGTGCCACAGAGAGCTGAGAAAACAGAGAACGCACGAAGAGGAGGGAGAAGGCATCAGTCATCGTGTGAGTGTGTAGCTGTGTGTGTGTGTGATTGTGTGTGTGTGTGTGTGTGTGTGTGTGTGTGTGTGTGTGTGTGTGTGTGTGTGTTGTGTGTGTGTGTGTGTGTGTGGTGTGTGTGTGTGTTTGTGTGTGTGTGTGCATGCAGGAATGAAGGCGAGCGAGAGGGAGGGACGGAGATTGAGAGAAAGGAGGTGGGAGGGAATAGGAGGAGTGTATGTGGAAAGAGGAAAAGGGGAGGAGACATTTTTTCCCCTTTTTCCTGTTCACATTTTTTAAATTTTCTTTTTCTGCATGTGTGTGTGTGTGTGTGTGTGTGTGTGTGTGTGTGTGTGTGTGTGTGTGTGTGTGTGTGTGTGTGTGTGTGTATTTGCGAATGAGCCCTATACTGTCCTCAAGTACATGGCTAACATATCAGCAGGGTTATTATTCCACCTTTCCATGCCTGTTTTCTCCTCATCCTGTAACCCTTTGTTTATGGCCAGCTGTGTCTTTAAGCCCGTGCACTTGAACTCAGAGAGTGCTTTTCTTTCTCTGTGTACTTCCCCTCTGCTGGCCCCCAGCACACAGGAAAGAGACACAGCTTGCAGGAGAGAGAGAGAAAGACAGAGAGTGAGACACAGAGAGAGAGAGAGAGAAAGAGGGAGAGAGCAGGACAGAGGGGCAGAAAGGGGCAGAAAGACAAATGCAGATGGGGGATGGGAATGGATTTTTAAATGGTGGTTCAAGGCTATGGAAGACTTAGTTTAAGAAATACAGTAGCATGTAAAGTGTGCAGACATGAAAATGAAACGAGGCTGAGCACTCTTTTCATTTTCGTGGGCTTCTCTGATATTAAAATAACGATTGATATGTGTGAACATGTGAAGGAGAGGTGGGAGAACAGGCTCCCTTTTGAAATATTGATTTACAATATGAAATATTCCACTGTGATTGTTACATCATGGAAGCATACAGTGGAGAAAGTGCAAGGTTAAGGTCAGACCATTAAGCAGAGCCCTGCATATCTCCACAAAATCTCCATGGCAACTGCTGACATACAGGTGAAATGTTTCATAATAAGAAAACTCATTTGTGCTGTGGGTCATAGAGTGGACTATTATGGACTATTATACCAGCTTATCCTTTTATCCACTTGCCCATTTTTTAAAGAAATGTACAGTTACCTCACCTTCACTGGTTTAATTGTTGAGACAGCAAAAAAGGGGGAAGGGGTGGACATAATGGACTCCATCGGAAGGCCATGGAGGCACACAGTAAACTGAACCTTACGCGACGCCTCTCAGACTTGCAAATGTTTAATTGCTCTTCAGCTGTCCCTCAGCATTTTCCAGTTTGCATAACAGGTTCTAAATACACCCTGTGACTGGAGGGTGCTTTAAACGTTATAGGGTTCATTTAAGAATCAATAGCATAAACATATTTTAAACAATGACGAATCTCCATATGTAAATCCTATTTTCCTAACTTTAATACCAAACTAGTTGAAATCCCAGAGCTTATCAACTCACTTCTCAGGTTTTTGAAATTCTGCCCTGACCTTGGAGTTTCACATTCACATGTAAATCTAAAAACCATCTAGCAGAGCGCTAGGAGGAAATTTAGGGGAATCAAGAGAGTGTTTCTTGAAATTTTATTTTATTTTTTAAAAAAAACAGGAAATGCAATTTGCAAGCTTTCTGAATCTGTTTGCAGGCTGGTAGATTTTCCACCCACCACAATTCCCACCTGGAAATGTTCATTTATGAAGTATTTTCCCTTCTCAGATTGTTTCTTGTGTGAACTACTTATCTGTTTATCATCAGTCACTCGGTTTTAACAGGACTGCCTTCCAGCTTACTTCTTTTGGGCTTTTTCCTTTTTTTACTTAGCAACTTTAATCCTCCTAATTTGCCACACCTCTTGAAACTTAAATACTATCTGTCCACAAACAAGGAATAAACTGAGGAACCACTCGGAAAATATTGTGGAGAACTGGTGCTAAAGAAGAGAAAACAGCTACTTCACCTTCCTCCTTATTCCCAAGAGCAGATATCTCCACAGGTTTGATTTTTTTATATCCTTCCTGGTACACACCCAGTGATTTGATTAATTCACCTAATTAATTGGACTCACTGTAAGAAAAAAAACCCCAAAAAAGATATTTCTATATTACATGGTGGAAAACCTGGAAATTTTCTGTCATTTAATTGTTAATCTATCAGTTAAGTACCGTATTTCCCGGACTACAAAGCGCACCTGAATATTAGCCGCACAAGCTAAAATCAGGGGAAAATCCTGTTTTGTACATACATTAGCCGCACCTGACTAAAAGCCGCAGGTGTTTCAATGTTGACTTATCTTATGTAAGAGAATATGCACAAAGGGAATTGTCAGGAAAGAGATGGCTGTTTGGAGACATCACTTATCACTTTTTTAGGTATATGTACAAGTACCGGTAATTACAAGTACGAAACATGTACTGTGCTTCATAAATGAGTAACAAATGCAGTACATAACAATAACCTACAGCACACCAGAAAAATAGATTCGGACTACCTTTTAGGCTCAGGTGCAGTGACACGGCTTTAACAAGAAGAAAAGTCAGTCATTCACCACCATCTTCCTGCGCACTAAAACCACCAAAGTCCTCTTCTCCAGTGTTGGAAACGAACAGGCTCAGGATGGCTTCGTCATCCACTCTCGTTATCCCAAAGAAATCCTCGTTGTCAGTGTCAGAGTCGAACACCCTCTGAAGGGCCGTGGCGGTGTCCTCCTCGCCATCATGCAGCAGTCCAGCCCTTCGAAATCCGTTGGTGATCGTGGATGTTTTCACACTTTTCCACGCTGTCAGAATCCAGTGGTGGAGTTGGGCATAACTTGCTTTTCGCAAGATTATCGCCGCTCATCATCCACGCCTCCCGCTGAACGCGTAGCGCTACTTTGAAGTTTGTTTTTCGCGCTACTTTGTACAGCACTACGTTGCCTGTGACATGTGACCAACATACCACTCTTGAACCCCGATCCTTCCACCAGGCAACGTAGTGCTGTACAACAGCGGAACAAACAAAACAAATCCTCTTACGATATCACAAAAATCATGGACAAGCCATAGAAAAGCCGCACCTGACTAAAAGCCACAGGGTTCAAAGCTTGTGCAAAAAGTAGCGGCTTATAGCCCGACAATTACGGTACTTTGTGTAGTATGGATTGAACTAAGGGGAGGGGTGCTGTAGTTGTGAAAGCTGCAAAGCCTATAAAAATACAGTTAAAAGTTTATAATCTATGCACCCCTTCACATTTTCTAAAGCTGTCTAGTGGGCAAGATGAAAGTCTTGGCTGGACCGATTCTGGTCCCCGGGCCTTATGTTTAATACACCTGCACAGCACTATAGCACCATCAAGGATTGCTGTGAAAGACCCTTCTATTAAAAATGAATAAATAGAGGAGGGCTGTTGAACTTAACGTAATCAGATAATGAGCCATTCGTTCATTTTCACTTTTACAGTGAGATGTGGTAACAAATTTTTTCTAACAAGTTCACCGCATAATTTAATGGTGGCGTTCTGGTAAGAGTTTCTTTCCACTGCCCCCTTGTGGCTTACAAAGGTATGTTTAATTACATCTCCTGTCTTCTTTAGCGACATTTTAAGAGCATTTTTCTTTTGACATTCCTTCTCAAATCATGAGTCATTTTAAAACCTCTCAAAGACCAAAACTTTTACACCCACAGGTTGAGAGCAACACAGCCCCTCCCTCATGGAGAAGATGAAGGCTTGTTTCGCTCTTCCACAGCTTTAAATCATTTATGACGGGCTGGAATCTGGATTCTCTTCTGATTTTTGCTTGCCCTCCTTGACCTCCTATCTTTAATTAGAAAATCAGAAAATATGACTTTCTGTTTTTTTTTACTTGTTTTCGTTTCTTGTTGCTTTTTTTTTAATTTTTTATTTAGTATTACTTTTTGCATCATTGTGGCTGTGCATATGCCAACAAATTCTGAAAAGTTTGAGCATCTTGTCAAATTCCCCAAAGCTCCCCACTACTTGCGCACCCAAAATAATGCCTCTGAGTATCTGAAGCACACTCGAAACAGGCAAAAATTTTCAGCATAGTGTTGTAATGGACTTAGCTAATTTGCTAAAATATCAGGTGCTCCCTTTATTACTGTCCCAGACAATTTTAGTTTTAAACTCTTTATTAGCAAACAGTAATTATCCTTTTTTTTTTTAAGAAAAAAAAAAAAAAAAAAAAAAAAAAACACGTGTGGCTCTACAATTTCCCTCATTTTAAGAGGTTTGTCTTCACTTTTCGCTTTTTTTCTGCCCAACTGCTTTACTCTCACTGGTCTTCTCAAAAAAAGACAGCCCACCGTCATCTCCAAAGAGCACACAAATAAGGCAACCAGCTGGTGAAACTACAGGAGAACTACAAGCAAATGACAGGAGCTTAAAAAACAAACAAACAAGTAAATGCTGGACTTACCTCAGATGACGACTCCACATCCATCCGCCCTCTGTTACAGATAAACCCGTGTACATGGTTTGGCTAACAACTCTACCATGGAAATAGAGTGTTAGCACCGCCCCCGTGTGGACGACAGAAGGTAGGTTTAAACTATTGCTACTATTTCTTGCAAATAGTAGGGGAGACCAGGGACAGTTGTAACGTGGGTCAGTTGTAACACTTCCAATTTCTCCAATCAGGGCTAAGTTTCAAATGATGTGACTCATCCTGTGCATGCCCAATTCAGTTCTGCTATCACATGTGAAAAATCAGCACATTTTGTCAAACACAGACAATTTAACATGAAAAAAAGTAATTTGTATGCCAAAAAGTAAGTTTTTCTACTTTATTTCAATTTCTAATAGCATTATCTGCTTTGCAGTTAAACTCATCAAACTTAAATTATGTTATTTGTATGTCTATGGGGATATATTCTGTGTAGGTCTTTAGTGCTAATGTTTTAGCCGTTGGCTGTAATGTTAGCTAGTTCATGGCTATAGGAGTCTGGGTCAGTTGTAACAGCAACAGTCTGGGTTAGTTGTAACAATAATGCAGATGTTACAACTTACCACACTATTACTTTAACTTATATTAAACAAGTTGGGGCAACGACATCAGCAGAGAGAGGTTCACTGGTCGCTTTTGTATATGTGGTTAATGCCATTGGCAACACAATTCCTCCACTGTTTGTGTTCCCACACATACATTATGCAGACCACTGTGTCAGAGATGGACCAGTAGGAAGTACTGGTAGTGGAAATAAATCAGGATGGGTGCAAGAAACAGATTTCCTCATCTTTCTGAAGCACTTTGCAAACCACACCAAGGTAAGCCATGATAAAAAGTAATGGAATTGCGATGCTGGTGAACAACTACATTTTTTCAGCTTCATTGTTATGTTCAAAATTGGTGCAAGAGTTGTAGGTTATAATGCCCACTGAGCCAATGAGGCCAAACTCAAGGAAGACCAACCAAAATTAATGAAATATTCAGTTGCAGAAAATTCCATAATTTGTCTTTTTTGGGGGGTTGGAATATGTTCAAAAGCTAGATTTCTGCATTCTGTCACACACACACATAGCTACATAAATGGCTCTAAGTGCATTCATGTGTTGAATAAACAAAGATTACATGTTAATGTTTTGTTAGTACCCTTATTTCATTGTGTTACATTTCACCCCAGGATATGTTACAACTAACCCAGACTATGGGGTTAATTGTAACATTTCACTCTTTGTGTTTGAGACCATACCATGCAATGGGTAATTGTGCTGCAGAGAAAATAGCTGCACTATTTAATAGCCGAGACATGTAAATACTTTGCATTACATTTTGAATCCACTACCTTAATTAAAAGAGCTCCAATTTACAGACAGAAATGTCAAAAATGTTACAACTATCCCTGGTCTCCCCTATATGAGAATTTTTCCTTTTTCACATTCTCGTTCACATACCTTTCTAGAGCAACTGCAGTTTGCACATTATGTCAATAATTATGCACATGGAGAGCATTTTATAATATTATAAAACACAATAAAAAAAAGAGTCTTTATAAACTACATCTTAAAACTTTAAACTTTGCACTGATATAGGTTTATAACTTAAGTCTCCTGAAAAATAATAGCATTTAGGTTCTCATAACAGGGACAAAGAAGTTACATGATACAGGGACACGCTTTGAACAAAAATCTTATTTCCTTTTAATTTAGCCTTTTCTTTATTCATGTTGTATTTATGCAGAATCAAAAATAATTTATGCACTTATACACACAAAATAACATCTCATGTGTATAAATCCCAGAGCTTACCTTCTCTCTCATCAGAAATCTGAAAGTTGGCATGGGAACTGAAGATTCACATTCACGTTTGAGCTTCAAACCATCGGCAGTGAGCTACTGTACAGGAGGAAATTTTAGGGGATTCAACAGGGTGTTTCTTGAAAGTTATTTTTAAAAAACAGGAAATATATCTTGCAAGCTTTTTCTAACAGAACCAGAATAGAAGAGCTTTTCTCCAAACAGAAAGTCAAACTGAACCAACAGTTATTTTGGTTTTTGTTTTTTCAAAATGATATTCTGTATTGAAATGTTTGTCCATTAATGTATGACTGGAGCTTTATTGTATGCCGTGTTTAAAAAACAACCACGTGACAACCACAGAGACACTGAGCCTTCTTCAAAGCATTAGAGGATAATTAGCATGCTTTAAGCAAAAATTGTGTTTACTTATAATTAATCAATTAAAATATCAATGGGATGAAGTAATGCGAGTTCAGGTTTGTCCTCTACATTATTACTCCATGCACCTATTTTGGTACAAACCCCTTTTATTGCCAAACACAGTGATTGGCCTTCCCTTCACATTCTTATCCTATTATTTCTCAGTTTAGGTCAAACTTCCAGTTTTGCAGTCCAATCTCACTACAAGGAGTACAGGTTTGAAATATACATTATTTACCTATATATCTAATGTGTATACATATATAAAATAAATTTCCATGCGGGGGCTTGTGACAAAGTGGATGAGCAGTTGTAATACTCTCCACTTGTCCCAGAAGTATTGACTTATTGACTTTTTGCACACTATGCACATTATTACCTCTATATATTTATTTGCTATAATTTGCTATTGTCAAAGTAACATTGCTGCACTTACTATCCCGGGTTTGTTTGTGTAAGCATTATGTTGCCAGCAAAACAAACATTCAGCAAATGAAAGCAAATACTCAGTTACATGTTGCTTTATATTTTGTTATGTTGCATAATTAATTCATTTGTGCATACTTACTTTGTTTTTTTTTATTTGTTTTCAGTCAAGATGTAGGTCAGGTGTAGGGAAAAGCCCGCCCAATGTTTCCTGATTTTTAAAGTACTGATGATGTCATCTCTGACATGAGCTGGTTAAACCAAGAGGAGGGGTTTCTTTTACCATAGGAATGCTTCCTTTTGTTTGTTTTAGGATACAAGGGGATTTATTGAATATTTTTTCTTATTTAGAGCCATTTAGTTAGTAAAGATGTCAATCAGAAGAGTGGGGAGCTAACTGCAGGGAAATTGATAGCATTATATATAGTCAGTCTCTGCTTGATTCGGAGGAGGAAGGAAAGGTGAGCTGTTTTACTGAATCCATGTACGTTTGAGTTTTGTTAATTAAGTTAATTTGAGGGAGTTTTGTTAAGTTTCACATATGATGGAGGTCACTGTAAATAAATTGCTCATCTCTAGGAACCCCAAATTTCTGCTGACCTATTACCTTTCTTGACGCTCGAGTAGGAGTACCTCACAGAGGTCTGGGAGTTTGAGAATCCTGCGCAGTATCTTTGCTGTTCTTAGGACTGCGCTCTTCCGCTGGGGTTCCTTGCGTAATAGTAGTCCAACAGCATCCTGTTCTCATCCCTTGTCCATCTATGCCTTCTTGTTCCAATAGTAAACTTCTCATCACTGTGTCCTGGTTCTCCCAACACCTGAATGAATCAATCAAGCAATAGAGCAATTTTTTACAGTTTTTAACACAAAAATCTTTCAAGAACATGATATTTGAAGACCCTAATTATAAAAATTAACAAATACAGTTGACCTTATACCACTGTCCTGAGAAAAACAAAGTACACTCCAGGATCGAGAAGCTGAGAATCACTTTTAGCAGCAGTAACTTGAAGTTATAATTTTCTTTATGAGTTTTTATCAGTCTCTCACGTCATTGTGGAAGGATTTTGACTCACTCTTCTTTACAGCATTGCTTCATTCAGGTTTGCAGGCATTTGTTTAAGCACAGCTCACTTAATCACTTAAGATTCTGCCACAGCCTTTCAGTCAGTTTGAGGTCTGGAGTTTGGGCCATTGCACCACCCTGATTCTTATTTTCAGCCATTCTGTTGCTTCTGTATTTGGGATCATTTTCCTGTTGCATGATAGAGCTTTTGCTTAACTTAAGCCGTCTGACAGACGGCCTCACGTTTGACTCCAGAATACTTTTGGTATACAGAGAATCCATTGCCAAATCATCGGCTCCCCATCACCATGCTTGACAGCTGGTGCGAGGTGTTTGTGTTGATGTGCTGTGTTTGGCTTTCACCAAACATGACACCGTGCATTACCATCTCCACTTTGCTCTCCTGTCCAAAAAACATTGTTCCAGAAGTTGTGTGGTTTGTTCAGATGCAGCTTTGCAGATTTAAACTGTGTTGCTATGTATTTTTTCAAAGAGGGTTTCTCCTGGTAGTCTTTCCAAAGAAGTTGTGCTTGTTCAGTCTTTTTCTAATTTTACTGTTATGAATTTTAGCATTTAACATGCTAGCTGAGGCCTCCAGAGTCTGAGATGTAGCATGTGGTTTTTTTGGGGGTTTGGTACGGTCTGACCTTTGGGCTGTGACATCCACCCCTGGTGAGATTGTGGCATTGTGTTAAGGCATGCCTGAAGTGCTCACACTTCCCAATGATCAGTTAATCAAAAAACATTTGATTAGCACCATCTGGCTGCTACTTAAAGTCTTAATTCCTATGGAAGCAGTAAGGGTGTATAATATATTTATTTGTTTATTTATTTAATTTCCAGTTGATTTTAATGGTGAAATTGTTAACATTCATTTAAAATCAAACCTGCCTGCAAGACGGGAACTTGAGAAAGACCAACTTTTTTTAATCTAAAAAGAGGGAAAGGGTGTAATGCATTGCAAATACAAAGAGGTATCGATCCACTGACAGGTGGGGAGAAGGAGTGGGGTGTGGTGAGGATTGATAAAGGTCAAAGCATGTGTGTGCTGCATCTGGCATACCTTTTGTTAAAGAGGAAATTAAAAGTTCCATACTCATCCGCATTACTGGGGACCAGAGAGAGGAGGAGGAGGGGGATGGATGCCCAGAGAAACAGTTTTCTGTCTTAATGCAGACAAACTCTTCCCTCAGGCCAAGGACAATCATTAGCTGAAGGGAAAGAGCCAGCATGTGTGTTATAAGAAGAGATCCTTATACTGGCACTGATCTTGAAAGAGCCTGGACGATCGATCGCATTAAGCTCCCTGTGAAAGAGAGAAATCAATATGTTTTTAAAGGCAAGGCAGGCTGCATGTGGCGTATGCGTGTGGGCTTCATTGATACGGCCAGATGCATTCAGGGAGAAGCTGTTCCTGAAAAAGAATCACATTTCGAGGTCAAGTGGTCTCATTTCCAATACTTCCACAAAATGGCAATGCTTCTGAGAGAGCCATATAACGGGAAAAGGTGGCAAAGTGTGTCTGAAGAGTCCCAGTTTGGGTTCCTGTTATCACAGCAGAATATCAGTCAATGTTTGAAGAGCCCAGATGACACACTGGCAGGGGGAAAAATCAATAGTTTTCAGTTGGATAAAGTTATACTAGGTGAGGTGTGTGAGAAATACGGGAGGGAAAGGAAAAGATAAATGACCTGTGAGTGTCAGAGAAAAGTCAGTGTTAAAGATACAATTCATTGCCTGCATGGGTTAATGGGAGAATATGGAGTGGGGCAGAGGTCAGCGAAAGAAAAACAAAGAAAAACAAAGAAAAACAAAGAGAGAATTGAATTCCAGTCAATTGTCAAAACAATGCTAATCAATACAAAACACAACCGCCACGCAGCAGATTTGTTGCTCTCACCCTTGCCTTGCCTATCTCTCTCTCTCTCTCTCTCTCAGGTATACTCACAGTAATAATTGACTCTTTTTATGGTATCTGGGTGAGTGAGTTCAACCCACTAAAGGCAGGAGTGAAGAAAAATGAACCCAAATGAGACAAACTCCCATGAGACACACACACACACCGACACACACATCTTATAAAGCGGGCTGTTTTTTAAAACAACCCTGATCTGATTTGATTAAGGATGGTTCGGGGGGGGGGGGGGTGTACCAGTCTGTGGTTGCACAAAAAATTGAAAACAATAAATGGGTGGGTAAGATTTGAGGGGGATAATTCAGGAAGTAATATGTGAGAATGAAGATAAAGGAAGCAAGGCAAGAAATTTCAAATGTGGCTCATTGTTGTAAAACAGGCCAGTGACTCTTCTTTTGAAACAAAATACCACACTGCCCTCACATGGTCACAAAGAGAAACAAACTGAAGTGTTGAAGCACACTTCTTGCTTGAGTTTATCTTCTTTTTTGCACATAATTTGCCACTATAGTCAGAAACATTGTACATATATTTGTATTTAAATTGCTGGAATAACCAAGACCTTCACTAAAATATTTTTCGGCATTAATATAACCTTTATATGCATATTCTAAGTATTTTGTTTCACATTTGTTAGTATTTTTTTTTTTTTTTGCTGGTATATACATAGAAAATAAACAAAAATCTCAATTTTAGCACTTCATACTCTCTCTGTAATATATATATATATATATTTAATTTAATATAAAAACAAATACAAACATTTCTTCAGTGATTTGAAAATAGTCACTGCATTACTTCAAAATGATGAAGAAAAAACAATAAACCACCAAGATTGACTCGGGTGGTGGATTTTCTGCCATTTGTGATTCATGTGGAAAAGGAAAGTTTATGACATTTTTTGGTCTGTTTTTCAAAGTCTAAAGATTGTTTTATGATTAGTTTGTTATACACCATATTTTAGGAAAAAAGTCTACTTTTCAACATTGTAACAGTTGAAATATGTTCTAGTTTGATTTACTGTGAATTTAGAATTCCCTTTTTTTGTCTTTTCCCCCAAATTGTTTTCTTTGATAATTTCAGAGAAAATTGTCGAAGTTTTGCTATTGTTTTCATATGTATGGCTCTCTGACTTTTTAACTTTTAGCACCCTCTTGAGGTTAAAATATTTTGCCAAAGATGCTGGCTGATTATCACTCAGGGATGGAGTCAGCACTGGTCTGTTTTGGAGGCTCCAAGAATAAATTTGTTACATATTTTTTAATCTATGCAGACTGTCCCAATAACTCACTTTTTTAATATTGAGCTTTGTTTGCCTTACTGATGAGCAATTGTTGGATAAAGCTTTTAGCACTTCATTTTTTTTTCCTTTAAGAAAAAGAGAAAAGCTTTTACAGCTCTTATATGCAATTCTTGTGTTAAACTCTAAAAATGTGTTTGGTTGTTTTTTACTATACATGCACAGTAATTGAACTGTCATGGGCTGGGTCTTTTGACCCAGCATGTTGAGTTTCATGCCTTTGTATTACAAAGTTTGTGTTTGTATAGTTTAAACTTCAGTTGGTTTTGTTTGAGTTCTGTTTTTTCTATCTAGGTTCCTCTCATCTCCCCACTATGTTGTTTATAGTGCAGTGTCCTCTGTGTTTAAGTCTCCCTCGCACTTCGTGTGTTTCAGTGATGTCTTTGTCTTCCTCCCGTCATCTCCTGTTGTTTACATGTTTCCCTCCTTGTGTTTCATTCAGTCTGCCCCGTTTGTCTTGTGTAATCTCCTTGTCCATTTAGGTTCTCCTTGTGTCTCTGTCCTGTTTCCCTCTCTGTGTTTATGTGCATATGTCCCTTTTTCTACTCCCATGTTCCCCTTATGTTCATTCCATGTCTCCTGCCTATCTTGTTTATCCATGTTCCCGTGTTCCCTCGTTTAGTTTTGCTTCCCCTGTGATGTCATGTTCATTTGCATCAGCTGTTTCACCATTTGTTTTCACTTCCCCTCATCACCTCCTGTGTGCATTTAGTCTGTGAGTTTCATTCATTCCTTGTCCGGTCGTCTGCTATGTCATGCTATGCTTCCGGGTCTTCATGTAGTCAAGTTGTCACATTTAAGGTTTTTTCATGTTTAGGATGTTTCATGTTATATTTCTGGTTTTCCCCAGTTTAGGTTATTGTTTTGCTTCAAATTGATTTTGCCCTTTTATTTTTCTACTGCTTAATCAGCCATAATAAATAGCGCATTTTCTGTTAGAGTCAAGTTTAGTTTTTGCGTGTCTGCATTTGGGTCCTCCTCCTCACTCCACACAGTCAGCTTCCACCTGACTGTGACATGAACTTAGCACATGAAGCTCAAATTATGCAGTGACTCTATAAACTAAAAACGCTGCTGGCCCATGCCTACAGTTTTAGCAAAACTGCAAGAATTACAGGCCTTTCCTTCCACATTACCATATGTAAAAGCATGATTTTACCTAAATCACATCAACATTTTGTCTGGATAACAGCACAAATAGTAAAGAGGGACATCTGAAGAAAGATGAGGAGAAGGAAAATGTATAATAAGATGGAATGAAGATCACTAAGAATCAGTAACACAGCTGTGTAACTGATTGAAGCAGAGTCGATGTAGCTGACTTTGTTGTGGATCATGCATGTGCAAGGCTGAACAAGTGATTCAATCAAATCAAGCAGTGTGTCCGAAAACACCAAAATGATACAGGCATCATCCACATA